TTGATATCAAGTTGCAAAAAATGGAAACTGGCCTAAATTAATGATAAAAATTGTCAACAACCCTCGAATTTTATATGAAAAAAATCGATTTCTTCAGTCCACTGCCCCACCAATTCAGTCATTTTTTTTTGTTTTTGGTAATTTTCCCTAAAAATGTCGAACTCGAGACTATTTCACCAGCACCGGCGGCAATTACCATCGGCATTACCATTACCATTACCATTACCATATGATTACCGATCGCAAATATTTCTGGTGCATTATATTCAAATTACTTAAGTATAGGTTCGTCAAGAACAATCTCAGCAACATTTTCCATCCATCGATGGATACACGGATACACCTGTAATTTCATTTTTATTCCCGATGAAAGGGATTAATAATCATTTAATAATGATAATAATATTATTATTAAATGCTGTTTATTGTCGAGAGATGAGATAGTTTTTTTTTTGGCAAAAATGCGAAATCTACATAGCATACTTAGGACCAATAATAATAGGAATTAGTGGTAGACAGACAGACAGAAATCGATTTTAGTCTAGATCGCGATTTTGATCATTTCGAAGGTCTTTTTGAGAGTTCTGTAGAAGTTTTTATGAGAATTTATGTGGATGCTTAGAAGAACTTAATTTTTTACATAACTTTTATTCCTAACTTATATTTTCTTTGTATTTTCAACTTCCCGCAGGGCAGGTCCAGCGGTTATGGACTCTTAATAAAAATAAGTTATAAAAATGTCATTTTGCGGTAAAAACTGTTTATTGGACATATGTACATCAAATTATCAGATATTTTATAGAGATTTTAACAATGTGTACTTTTAACAATTTTGTATAATTTTTAACTTCTCGTAAGTTATTGTAATGGGCCGAAAATCGGAATTGAAAATTTTTACATTTCTCGACGTTTTGAAGGTTTCTGAACATTTTGGCATACCTCAGAAAAAATTGATGTGTGTGTGTATGTATGTATGGATACAAATTTCCAGTCACGTTTCCGGGCGCACGGATCAACTGATTTGAATGGTTAAAAAAACACTCGATTCCTATCGATAGGGAGAAGAGCTGATTAGTTTTTGGCAAAGGCAGGTCCAGCCGTTTCGCAGATACGGAGCAAAGAGTGCAGAAAATAGATATCGAGTTTTTGAGAGCACGGATCATCCGATTTGTATGATCCAAAAAACATTTAGTTCGTAATGACGGGAAAAAGTGGTCATTAGTTTTTGGCAAAGGTAGGCCCAGCGGTTTCGGAGACACAGAGCTAAATGTTAAAAAAATGGCAGTTTTTGAGAGAACTAAGCGTCCGATTTAAATGATTCAAAGAACTTTCTGCTTGTCTTAACAAAATAATTGATTTTGGAAAAAAAATTTTGTTTCAACTTTTCTTTTTCAAAAAAAAATTTTTTATATATCGAAAATAATGCAGATTTTATTTTTAATTCTGACTAAAGTTCTAATATACTTTAAACAAATAATTTCAACTTTGCAATTCAGTTTATATAATTCTTATAAATATTACACAATGTTATAGTATTCATTTATAATAATGTATTTGAAAACATTCAGTATTCCTCAAACATTTCGTTACGGTACGGGAAGTTCCAGCAATTTGCCTTAAGGCACGATGCCATACACCCCACTAGTTTTTTTTTGGTTCCGTACCAAGATTTTTAATTACGGTACGGGAAGTTCCAGCAATTTTCTTTAGGGCACGATGCCATACACCACTAGTTTTTATTTCATTAAATGATTATGATTGGTTTCAACCTAATTTAGCCTCGATTTTATAGAATTCATATATACACATTTAAATATAAACGTAGAAGCTCCGCCGAGTCGTATAAAATAAAATAAGCGAGTTGTATATTTTTTTCGTTCGTGTTTTTTTCAAAGCAACACGATACAGAAACGTGTAATCAAAATAATGAAAACATATATAATTGGATTTATACACAAATATGTATACATATCATATATGAATACATAGAAATGTGTATATATGTTGTATAAGGCGTGGCTTTCCCATATGCAAATTGCTTTAATAAAACATGGAGCCAATACGGAATTCAGTAGATTGCAATCTTGAACCACGATATATGTATATACATACATATATACATAGAAATATACATATATACATATCTACTATAATTTGCGATATGCGTTTTTTATCTCCCGTATCATTTATTATAGAGAAACATTTCAGCGAAATTACAAAATTACAAAATTACGTATTTTTTGCTACAAAGTTGCTCATGGAAACATGTTTTGTGTTAAAAACTCACATTGATGGCAATCTAATATAATTGCAATTTTTATTTTATATTATTTATATATTTGTTGATTTTTTATGAAATATTAAACCAGTTCATTGATTTATTTGCAAATAATTCTGTGCGACATTTTCACTTACACTGTGTTTAGCTTGGCGGCATTTTCACATTTTTCAATAGTTTTCTTTTCACAAAATTGGAAAAGTGCAAAACAGTCTAAACGCACTTGTGTAAACATACCAGAGTGGTACTTAGACTGCGCTTATCCTGGGTCATTTTTTGAATTTTTAATCCAAAAATTACAAAAATATTTTATGGAAAATAAAAAAGATGTAATAATTTTTTATCCTCAAAAGCAATTGTTTTGTCAGTACAAGCAGAAAGTTTTTAAATCATTCAAATCGGACGCTTGGTTCACTCAAAAACTGCCATTTTTTGCACATTTAGCTCTGTATCTTCGAAATGGCTGGGCCTACCCTTGCCAGAAACTAATAACCACTTTTCCCCGTCATTACGAACTGAATGTCCGATCATACAAATCGGAGGATCCGTTCTCTTAAAAACTCGATTTCTATTTCCTGCACTCTTTGCTCCGTATCTCCGTAACTGTTGAACCTACCTTTGCCAAAAACTAATCAGCACATCTCCCTATCAATACGGATCGAATGTTTTTTTAAACCATTCAAATCGGTTGATCACACACAAATCACAAAAAACACACACACACATCCATTTTTTCTGAGGTATGTCCCTTAAAAATGTTCAGAAACCTTCAAAACGTCGAGAAATGCAAAAATTTTCATTCTCGATTTTCGGCCCATTACTATAACTACCCTACGGGAAGTTAAAAATCTTTTCTAGTGGTGTATGGCATCGTGCCTTAGGGCAAGTTGCTGGTACTTCTCATACCATAATAAAATAGTCGAGGAATATTACCAGAGTTAGAATTAAAATCCGAATTATTTTCGATATTCAAAAGAGAAATTTTTTGGAAATAAATAAAAAAATAAAAAAGAATATTTTTCGCCAAGCAGAAAGTATTTTGAATCATTCAAATCGGATACTTAGTTCTCTCAAAAACTGTTATTATTTGCGCATAAGCTCCGAATCTCCGAAACGACTAGACCTGCCATTGCCAAAAACTAATTCCTATCAATAGGAATCCAATGTTTTTTGAATCGTTCTTATTGGGTGCTTCGTTCTTTCAAAAACTCAATTTCTATTTTCTGCAATCTTTGCTCCATATCTCCATAACTGCTAGACCTGCCTTTGCCAAAAACTACTCAGCACATCTCCCTATCAATAGGAATCGATTGTATTTTCAATCATTTGAATTGGTTGTTCCGTACACCCAAAATCGTCGACGTAAAATTGTATCCACACACACACATACATCAATTTTTCCTAAGATATACCAAAATGTTCAGAAACCTCTGAAACGTAAAGATATGCAAAAAATTTCATTTTGATTTTTCGACGATTACAATAACTTACATTACGGAAGCTAAAAAACTAAGCAAATCTAAAATTGATAAATTTCATAAGAAAAACAAAGAAAAAAATGATAATATTAAAAAAACTTATTAATAAACATATAGAGAACGAACTACTGAGATACTAATATGAGAGAAAATACTCAGTCCATTTTGAAGAGCTATGCAGGCTATACTATTTGTACTAGAATAGTGTAATTTGAGTAAATTACTCCTCAATCCTTGTACTATGACAGCAAATACTAAAATTGATACATTTTATAAGAAAATCTTAGAAAAAAATTACAATATTGTACAAGTACTTATGGATGAATATATAGAGAACGAACTACTGAGATACTAATGAGAGAAAATACTCAGTCCATTTTGAAGAGCTCTGCAGGCTATACTGTATGTACTAGAATAGTATAAATTGAGTATATTAATCTTCAATCCTTGTACTATGACAGAAAATACTGAAATTGATAAATTTTACAAGAAAATCGCAGAGAAAAAAAGACAATATAGTAAAAGTACTTATTGATGAATATATAAGAACGAATTTCTGAGATGCTAATATGAGAGAAAAATACTAAATCATTTTTGAAGAGCTCTGCAGGCTATACTGTATGTACTAGAATATTGTAATTTGAGTAAATTACTCTTCAATCTTTGTACTATGATAAAAAATACTAAAATTGATAAATTTTATAAGAAAATTTTAGAAAAAATGAAAATATTGTACAAGCACTTAATGATGAATATATGGAGGAACGAACTACTGAAATACTAATATGGGAGAAAAATACTAAGTCATTTTTAAAGAGCTCTGCAGGCTATACTATTTGTACTAGAATAGTATGAATTGAGTATGTTAATCCTCAATCCTTGTACTATGACTACAAATACTAAAATTGATACATTTTATCAGAAAATTACAGAGAAAAAAAGACAGTCTTGTAAAAGTACTTATCGATGAATATATAGAGGACGAACTACTGAGATACTAATATGAAAAAAAAAAACTAAGTCATTTTTGATGAGCTCTGCAGGCTATACTATTAGTAATAGAATAGTATAATTTGAGTACTTGAGTATTTGAGTATTGCATTTTGGATGGTCCAAACTTTTGCAGATTCGAAAGATTTTGTACATAAAAAAACCAAAACTAATTTTTCAAATTGTTGCATAATTAAAATCAAATTTATTCAATTTAGCCAAATACAAAAGTATAAAATAGAGTCCACTCGGCCTTATGTTTCTTCATCCGAAAAACACACCTTATAATCCGGATACTTGACCTTTAACAACTGCACAGTCTGCCTATGATCGGCTTTCCCGTACTTCTGGGACGTCCCGAAAACCTTGATCTGCTTGTAGTCCCTTTCGTGATCGATCTTGCCCCCTCCGAGACATCTGACGTCGACGCCTTTGACAATCTCCTTGACTTTGGTTTCGACCTCTTTGAAGATGTCGGAGTGCCACTTGGCCCTAGCATAACCGCGAACCAGGACTTTGTTGTCCTTCGGATCGTAGGCACAGAGGTGGACTAGGATGTACTTGAAGACACCATCGCAGTCGATGTCGACGACAGGGATGGATTTTAATTTTGCTGCCATATTGGCAATGTAGCAGTAATTTCGAATCATGGTAGTAATGGATAATTTGGAAAGGACATTGTCGAGGAATAGAAATTTTTGGTTGGTTGTTTTGACGTTTGGATTTTTGGCTTTTGTTTTGTTTTGCTTGGATAAAAATATTTCTTTTTTTTAAAAAAAAAAATAATTTATTTATTTACACATATACATTATTTTCATATCTCAGTCAGACAGAGGTGCCTGGTATGAGAGATTATGAAAAACAGTTTTCATATTTCATATATACATTTTATTTGACTATTTCATTAATATAATATCTATTATATTATAATTAAAATATCTTTATATTTTAGATGATGATTTATCTCATATATCATCAAGCATTAGTCAACCTTATCTCATATTTTTAAGAATTGTTTAAAATGAGTCGCAAAGTTAGAACTATACGTCCTAAATAGTTCTTTGTAAAGGCATATTTCATTAAAGATTTTTTATACTATTGGAGAGCAACATACTGAAATTTCACTGTTCTAGTACAAATAGTATAGCCTGCAGAGCTCCTCAAAAATGACTTAGTATTTTTCTCTCATATTAGTATCTCAGTAGTTCGTTCTCCATATCTTCATCAATAAGTACTTTTACAAGAATGTCTTTTTTTCTCTGTGATTTTCTTCTAAAATTTATCAATTTTAGTATTTGTAGTCATAGTACAAGGATTGAAGAGTAATATACTCAAATTACACTATTCTAGTACAAATAGTATAGTCTGCGGAGCTCTTCAAATATGACATAGTATTTTTCTCTCATATTAGTATCTCAGAAATTTGTTTTCTGTATAATCATCCATAAGAACTTGTACAATATTGTATTTTTTTCTAAGATTTTCTTATAAAATGTATCAATTTTAGTATTTGTAGTCATAGTACACGGATTGAAGAGTAATATACTCAAATTACACTATTCTAGTACAAATAGTATAGCCTGCAGAGCTCTTCAAAAATGACTTAGTATTTTTCTCTCATATTAGTATCTCAGAAATTCGTTCTCTATATATTCATCGATAAGTACTTTTACAAGATTGTTTTTTTTCTCTGTGATTTTCTTATAAAATGTATCAATTTTAGTATTTATAGTCATAGTACAAAGATTGAAGAGTAATGTACTCAAATTACACTATTCTAGTACATACAGTATAGCCTGCAGAGCTCCTCAAATATGACATAGTATTTTTCTCTCATATTAGTATCTCAGAAATTTGTTTTCTGTATAATCATCCATAAGAACTTGTACAATATTGTATTTTTTTCTAAGATTTTCTTATAAAATGTATCAATTTTAGTATTTGCTGTCATAGTACACGGATTGAAGAGTAATATACTCAAATTACACTATTCTAGTACAAATAGTATAGCCTGCAGAGCTCTTCAAAAATGACTTAGTATTTTTCTCTCATATTAGTATCTCAGAAATTCGTTCTCTATATATTCATCGATAAGTACTTTTACAAGATTGTTTTTTTTCTCTGTGATTTTCTTATAAAATGTATCAATTTTAGTATTTATAGTCATAGTACAAAGATTGAAGAGTAATGTACTCAAATTACACTATTCTAGTACATACAGTATAGCCTGCAGAGCTCCTCAAATATGACATAGTATTTTTCTCTCATATTAGTATCTCAGAAATTTGTTTTCTGTATAATCATCCATAAGAACTTGTACAATATTGTATTTTTTTCTAAGATTTTCTTATAAAATGTATCAATTTTAGTATTTGCTGTCATAGTACACGGATTGAAGAGTAATATACTCAAATTACACTATTCTAGTACAAATAGTATAGCCTGCAGAGCTCTTCAAAAATGACTTAGTATTTTTCTCTCATATTAGTATCTCAGAAATTCGTTCTCTATATATTCATCGATAAGTACTTTTACAAGATTGTTTTTTTTCTCTGTGATTTTCTTATAAAATGTATCAATTTTAGTATTTATAGTCATAGTACAAAGATTGAAGAGTAATGTACTCAAATTACACTATTCTAGTACATACAGTATAGCCTGCAGAGCTCCTCAAATATGACTTAGTATTTTTCTCCCATATTAGTATCTCATAATCAGAAGTTCATTCTCTATATATTAATCAATAAGTACTTTTACAAGATTGTCTTTTTTTCTCTGTGATTTTCTTGTAAAATTTATCATTTTTAGTATTTGCTGTCATAGTACAAGGATTGAAGAGTAATATACTCAAATTACACTATTATAGTACATACAGTACAGCCAGCAGAGCTTTTCAAAATGGACAGAGTATATTCTCCCAAATTAGTATTATATCTCAGAAATTCGTTCTCTATATATTCATCATTAAGCGCTTGTACAATATTTTCATTTTTTCTTTGATTTTTTTATAAAATTTATCAATTTTAGTATTATCTGTCATAGTACAAGGATTGAAGAGCAGTTTACTCAAATTACACTATTCTAGTACTATTAGTATAGCCTGCAGAGCTCTTCAAAAGTGACTTAGTATTTTTCTCTCATATTAGCATTTCAGAAATTTGTTTTTTGTATATTCATCGATAAGTACTTTTACAAGATTGTTTTTTTTCTAAGATTTTCTTTTTTGTCATAGTACAAGGATTGAAGAGTAATGTACTAAAATTACACTATTCTAGTACTATTAGTATAGCCTGCAGAGCTCTTCAAAAATGACATCCTAATATAAATAAATAGATTATTCAATTATTGGCGAAGCCTATATTAACTTTGTATCTATAATATAAAGTTTTTTAATATAATACCATCTATAAAATATATGGTATTCTTTTATACCATAGACCTGCCTCAGACACAACACTAACTATAATAAAAAAAATAAAATTTTTGGACAAATTTTGTACAAATTCACCCAAACGGAACCACATGGATGATTGATGTTTTCAAATTGAGTTGTTTTCGACATGTGTTAAAAATTGGCACTAATGATGCCATTAAATATATATATATATATATATATATATATATATATATATCTTTATTATTAAATGGTGACACGGCATAATTTGCGGTTTTTGGCAACAAATGTTCCATTATTTTCGTATTAGCGAAAACATTCGGTTGCCAAATTATATACTGCATCGATATAAATAAAAATAAGACATTGTTAATGTTGTTATTAAAATGACAATATTTATAAACGAATTTGTTACAAACGATAATTATTTTCGCCTCAAATTGTCTTTTCGCAACATATGTTGTAGAAATTGGAGCGACAGATGTCTTATAGGAAGATATTTTAAAATATTTTGCAAGTTTTAAAAACAAGAAATGAAATGAGAATTTCCATCAGTTTTGCAATTTTCCAGTAAATTTTAAAATAAAAGTCCCTTCTATTCAACCCTTCGTCGTCTCGTTGTCTTGTCTGGCGGTAGAGTTGTTTTTTTCATCCCTTAATAGTGTCTCCGTGTCGACTACCCTTCGGATGAATACCTTTCGTCGGACCCTTTGAAATAATAAATAAGGGATGATGGTAGATTTATCATTGCCAAATGCACAATTTCAATTGACCAACAGCAAGGGGTTTGTTGGAAGATGGCAAAGGGTAAGGGATGATCTGTGTCTAATGTGAGATCAAGAGTTTTGACTTTGGACGAACAAATACTGGGATAAATAGATGGTGGAAATTGTTTTTGGCCTAAAAGAAAAATATTGCTGACGTACATTTAGTATCGAAACGTACAAGGAAAACATCTTGAACACTAAGATTTCCAAGAATAGATATATGCGTGAGATTTTTTGTTCGACATTGCATCATATTTTTGAAAATATAGTAATACAATTAGGTTTAGAACATAATTTTTTTTTTATTCTTTGCGTTTTGATACTAAATTTTTCCATCATTCAACACGTCGAGAAAACATGAAATTAGCAAATTAATTTTTTTGACGAAAACATAAACTTCTATTTCTAGAAGTTAATAAAAATGTTGTTTTTTAACTATAAATAGTAACAAAGTTATACATGATACAAAAAAGAATGATAAAGGTTTCTTTGGGATTTTTAGTCTAGTTTTATGGAATGATGGCAAGGATTATACCTGAAACTTATCCATTCATATGGATGATAAGAAAATTTGCACTAAATTATATAATTTATATTTTATATTACCTAATTCTAATATGAAAATATTTGTTGTGCACTCTATAATTTATGAAACATTCTACTAATATGATCGATTTGTTTGAGAAATTTGTTCAGAAATATATAATATACAAGTCACTAATATCATTACCATTTGTTCAATTTTATTATTTACGTTTTATTAAATTTTGTCTAATTTTACCAATATAATTTGATTCGCAGTGTCAACAATTAATTTGATAAACCGTATTTGTAAGGCGTTCGTTGTTCAAAGGATATATATATATATATATATATATATATATATATATATATATATATATAATGTGTGTGTGTGTGTATAAAGTATATTGAGCTTATAAATCTTCGACTCTGGTCCTTTTTCCTTCCAAAAAGGGCATAAAATGGTGAATTTATATTCAGAACGACATAAGTTCAAAAGAATAGACTCGGAAAATAATGCAAACGACTTCTTTGAAAGGGTTAACACTCTCTATTCATTCGTGAATTCCGAGATAGAATTTATATATATATATATATATATATATATAAATCCAAGGGATATAAATCTATGGCCTATTGTCTCGTGCGGATGTCCGATTGCATAGAACATGCATTTTTTTGGTAAAAAGGCGAAAAATAGGATTTATAGTCCTTCTTTAACATATAATTCAAATACTCCATATATTTTCAATATAGGGATGATCTTATTTATATTACATATAAAACTTATTATAAAAATATTGTACTTTTATGTATTAACAATCTTAACATTTAAAAAGTTAAATTGTTTAGAATGATTGTGGTCAATCGAGCAATTTTTTCATAAAAAATTTGAACCTAATTTGAAAGTTCGGAAAAAATACTTTCATCTGTTTGT